CTGGCTTCTTTTAAAGATTAATGTCAGGTGAAACACTTCCATTTTCACCAAGGATATTAAACAATATTATGGATATCTGAAACAAAAGATGTCTATTTACAAGTATTTACACTGGTAATCGCCATGAAGACAGGGAAGTGCCGGACTGCCGCGCGGAACAAATGTCGGGAGTGTAGACACTGGATGTCAAGCGTTGCGTCTTGTATATAAACACGGCACCAGGAAATAGGTGTCTTCTCAACAACTCCGCAGTCATTTTTGAATAGTGTCTAATTATTTTAGTAGCAACTGTCAACATGCTATTATATTTGCACAATTCTTACACACTAACCTGTTCATACATCGTAATTAACAAACATTACACAAGGTACCCTTAAAACGCAAATAACTCCATAGGAACCATAAACCAAACACGATAATAAATAATATGGGATACTCACAGGTAGCAGATGGCCACCTTGGAGCCAAGTAACCAGCCATACAGTTACACCCCGTACTTTGACTCGGTCCGAACTACCCATGAGTAACACCTGCTTCAGATGCAGAGAACAAACCTAGCACTGAACAGCACAGTTCCAATAATCATTGGAGTGGAATATAAACCCCTTACAATGCTCCCCGAATAAGCTAAAATCTTATGAATTTTAGAAATTACTGTTCACTGTGGTTTGTCCTAGGAAGGTGGTTTGTCCTAGGAAGGTAACCACTTTATTTACGATGGAAAACGCACCCTTATTAACCATGCAAGTCTACGGACTTGCCGCACCCTCATTCGCTGTACGCTGTCAGCCGGATACAATACAGTACAATACCATACAATACCATACAATACACAACGAACTATAAATATTTGTAAGAATAAAACATAATTATATAGACATGTAAGACTCACTACTTGATAAGATATCTGTATATCCGTAAGACATTAGCTATTGGAAATGTGATTAAATGTTTTGTTATTAATCCAGTGTGAAATGTGTCGGTATTGGTGGTACAATCCTAATGGTCTCTAATCCTGTTGATTAGGTGAGGTTAATCTGGGTTTATAGAGATTAAAGATAAGGTGTGGGGTTTATTCTACCTGTGTTAGTCTCAAGTACGACCCTTATTGTAACAACCACGACCATGATTATAACAACCACGACCATGATTATAACACCCACGACCATGATTATAACAACCACGACCATGATTATAACACCCAAGACCATGATTATAAGAACCACGACCATGATTATAACAACCACGACCATGATTATAACAACCAGGGCCATGATTATAATAACCAGGGCCATGATTATAATAACCAGGACCACGATTATAACAACCACGACCATGATTATAACAACCACGACCATGATTATAATAACCAGGACTATGATTATAATAACCAGGACCATGATTTTAACAACCACGACCATGATTATATCAACCACGACCATGATTATAACAACCACGACCATGATTATAACAACCACGACCATGATTATAACAACCACGACCATGATTAGTGGAAGCAATCATTTCAAACTCTATTCGAAATCACCTGGAGAAGCACCGATTGATCAATGATTCCCAGCATGGCTTCACAAGCAGACGTTCTTGCCTAACTAATCTATTAACATTCTTTTCATCAGTTTTCGAATCGGTGGACGAAGGGCACAATTATGATGTGGTATATCTCGACTTTAGCAAAGCCTTCGACAGAGTCCCCCACGAAAGACTAATTAGAATGGTAGAAGCACATGGCATCAAAGGTAACATGCTTAAATGGATTAGGGCGTGGTTACAGGACAGGAATCAGCCAGTGAGCATTAATGGCACTAAGTTCCATTGCAGCAACGTCACAAGTGGAGTTCCCCAAGGCTCAGTACTTGGACCATTATTATTTATTATATACATAAACGACATAGATATCGGCATAGACAGCAACATAAGTAAATTTGCTGATGACACTAAAATAGGACGTGTTATCAAATCTGACGAGGACTCCGCAGGAAGATCTAAACAAATTTTTCGAATGGTCTGAAAAATGGCAGATGAAATTCAACATCGACAAATGTAAAGTACTCAGTATAGGAGATGTAAACAGGGAAACCAGATACCAGATGAACAACGATGCCATAGAGAAATCCGACTGCGAGAGAGATTTAGGAGTAATGATAAGCAGGAACCTTAAGCCAAGTAAACAATGTGTTTTTGCTCGTAACAAGGCTAATAAAGTACTCGGGTTCATACAAAGGAGTGTTAGTTACAAGACTAGCGAGGTCATCCTCAAACTGTATCTTGCGCTTGTGAGACCACACCTGGATTCCGCAGTTCAGTTCTGGTCACCGTATTACAGAATGGATATAGAATCATTGGAAAGAATTCAGAGGAGAATGACAAGACTAATCCCGGGCATTAGGAGCCTTGAGTATAGAGACAGGCTAAAGCATCTTAATTTGCACTCCCTTGAGAGACGTAGAGCGAGGGGCGACCTGATAGAGGTGTATAAGTGGAAGACAGGGCTAAACAAAGGGGACATTACAAAGGTACTCAAACTATCCAACCAGGAGCGAACTTGTAACAGTGGTTTTTAATTAGACAAATTTAGATTTAGGCGTGAAATAGATAAACACTGGTTTGGAAACCGAGTAGTGGATGAATGGAACAAGTTACCAAATATCATCATTAACTCGATTACGCTGAATAGCTTCAAACATAGGTTGGATGCTTGTATGAGCAATAGGGGTTGGGTGTAAACGCAACTGCCCAGTATGGGCCAATAGGCCCGCTGCAGTTTCCTCCATTCTTATGTTCTTATGTTCTTATGATTATAATAACCAGGACCAGGAATATAACAACCACGACCATGATTATGATAACCAGGACCATGATTATAACAACCACGACCATGATTATAACAACCACGACCATGATTATAACAACCACGACCATGATTATAACAACCACGACTATGATTATAACAACCACGACCATGATTATAATAACCAGGACCATGATTATAACAACCACGACCATGATTATAACAACCACGACCATGATTATAACAAATCCACGACCATGATTATAACAACCCACGAACATGATTGTAACAAAGCACGACCATGATTATAATAACCACGACCATGATTATAACAACCACGACCATGATTATAACAACCACGACCATGATTATAACAACCAATGACCATGATCATAACAACTCATGACCATGATTATAATGTCCACGACCATGATAATAGCAACCACGACCATGATCATAACCACGACCATGATTATGACCACGACCATGATTATAATAACCACGACCATGATTATAACAACCACGACCATGATTATAACAACCACGACCATGATTATAGCATCCACGACTATGATTATAACAACCACGACTATGATTATAACAACCACGACCATGATTATAACAACCACGACTGTGATTATAACAACCACGACTATGATTATAACAACCACGACCATAATTATAACAACGACCACCAAGATTATAACAACCACGACCATGATTATAACACCCACGGCCATGATTATAACAACCACGACCATGATTATAGCAACCACGACCATGATTATAATAACCACGACTATGATTATATCACCCACGACCAGATTATAACAACCACGACCATGATTATAATAACCACGACCATCTGGAAAACGATGTCGCTGTACGCTGTCAGTCAGACGGCGGTTGCGAGCTAGCCAAGCACCAGCGTTCGAATTTTCACGCCTCGGTAAACTGTACCACCGGACTCTCCACTGGGCACGAAGGGCCCACGATCACTTGTAGACTTCCTATAGAAGGGGGAATCCATACTCTTCCAAGTTGGTGGATCTTGATACTTTCCGTTGTTGCCTGATGGATGGTGCCATTTCCCTCCTCCCAGGATGGGTGAGGAGGTACTTCATGGGCGAGAAGTAGTCATAGTTGGGTAACCATAGTCGGGAAGTAGGTCATAATAGTCCGGTAGTCAGTCAAGGTTGAGATAACAGCTCCCAACATCACTGCCCAGTTAAGGGCAGTGCAGGGATCAATGTGTGTTGCGTGTAAGTTCACGTGAGCAACTGGCTGGGCCCAGCCGCGACCTAATCCCGGCGGAGCTAGACGGTGGTACCTAGTTCGTTAGGCCACCGCCAGGGTGGCCTGGAAGTTCTATTTATGTTGCCGTTTTTCTTTAATAATTTATATATTTACGTCTTTTTTCTCAGGATCTGTATGAATTTTACTCAAATGGTGACGCTGTTGTCTACAATGGTTATGTATTCTTTTATGTGTGTATGATTTTTTTGAGAATGTGTGTGTTTGTGGTCGCTGAATGGAATGTTAGGACTCTTCTGGATAAGGACACAAATGAGCGTCTTGAAAGAAGAACTGCCCTTATGGCAAAAGAGCTGGCTAGGTTTAACATCAACATAGCACCCATTAGTGAGTCTCGGCTCCCAGACGAGGGCAAACTCACAGAACGGGGGTCTGGCTATACCTTCTTCTGGAAGGGTAAGCCTGCCGTAGAGAGAAACTGCATTTATGGAGTTGGCTTTGCCATCCGCCAACGCATCCTACACAGGCTAACTGAAATGCCTATTGGGATCAACAAGCGCCTCATGACGCCCCGAGTACCGCTGAATCACTTACGTCATGCCTTTTTCATCAGTGCATATGCCCCAACACTGGATGCAGAGGATGGCATCAAGGAGGCTTTTTAGGCGGACCTTGATAGAGTGCTAACCTCTATTCCCAGAGAAGACAAGGTTGTGCTCCTTGGTGATTTTAATGCCAGAGTTGGCGGAGATGCTGACATTTGACAGGAACCCAAGGGAGAAATGGTCTAGTCAAGTGTAATCCCAACGGCTCACTCCTCCTCAGCAAATGTACTGCACACAACCTCATTATCACCAAGACCTTGTTAAAGCAGGCCGACAAGTTCAAGGGTTTGAGGCAACATCCACGATCCAAACACTGCCATCTAATTGACCACATGCATTCTCAGAAAAAAGAGATTGCAGAGATGTCTTCATCACCCGTGCCATGCGTGGCTCAGATCACTGCTACACTGATCATCGAGTCAGACCCAAGTTCTCACTTCACGACGCCCCAAACCGGCGAAGGCAGCAAGCTTCTAGTAAAGGTTTTAACACTAAGCGTCTGAAGGATCCAACGGTAGCACATGCTTTCAGAGAGCAGCTCAAACATGGGCTGTTAAACAACCCGACAACAAACATCCCAATTCTCAGTACCGAAAGGGATATTCTCAACACTGTCATGACAAAAACCTGCAGAGAGACCCTCGATCAGATAGAGAGAATACACCAGGACTGGTTTGATAAAAATGACCCGGCACTCGATGCACTCATCAATGATAAACATGCTGCTTTAACTGACTGGCAGAACAACCGTCAGTCTGGGATCAAAGCTGATATCTTCCGCAAGAAGAAAGCTGTGGCCCAGCGGGAATTTCACAATCTCAAGAATGACTGGTTTAAAAATAAAGCATGTGAAACACAAAAATTTGCAGATCAGCACAACAGGCGCGAATTTTTCAATTCCTCCAAAACATTATATGGGCCAATCACTCTTGGCACAGCCCCCATCCGCTCATCAGAGGGTAACTCCATGATTAAAGACAAAGACGGTCTCCTTCAGCTCTGGAAAGACCACTACCATTCACTGCTCAACCGAAACACTGATGTGGATGACCTGTTTAACCAGCAGGTCCCTCAGCATCCAAAGTTGACCCACCTCAGCTATCCTCCATCCCTGGAGGAGGTAGCTACTGCCATCAAACAGATAAAAAATAAGAAAGCATCAGGGCCTGATGGAATCCCCAGCCGAGGTGTATAAAGAAGGAGGACCTCTGCTTACCAGCCGTCTCCACTCTCTCCTAGAGAATATACGGGAAAAGGAGGAAATCCCCCAAGCTCTTAAAGACGCCTCCATCGTCAATATTTATAAGAACAAGGGAGACCGGTCAGACTGGCAACTATCACGGGATCTCGCTGCTGTCCGTTGCTGGCAAGATTATTGTTCTCCTAAACAGACTTCTTCCTGAGGCGGACAACTTCCTCCCAGAATCTCAATATGGTTTTAGACCATCACGTGGCACCACTGACATGATCTTTGCTGCCCGTCAGATACAGCAAAAGTGCAGAGAACAGCGTCGTGACCTGCATATGACTTTCATCGACCTAATCAAGGCCTTTGACTCGGTCAAAAGGGCAGCCCTCTGGTGAACCCTCAGCCGTTTTGGCTGCCCCCCAAAATTCATCGTCAGTGTGAGGCAACTCCATGATGGCATGAACGGCAGTGTCCTGCACAATGGCACCCAGTCTGAATTCTTTTCCAGTCAAGCGGGAGTTAAACAATGGTGTGTACTGGCACCAACTCTCTTTTCCATTCTCTTGGCTGCCTTCCTTACTCGTGCCAGTGCCAACTTAGCCGGCGGGGTGAACATCGTTTACCAGACGAAGGGTCTTTTCAACATAAGGCGACTCCAGGCATCCAGGCAAGAACAATGGTGTTGGCAGCTTCCAATACTGAACTTCAGTTCAGTAATGGAAGTAACGTTCAGTAACGCGACCTACAGGAGATCCTGAACACCTATTCAGATGCGTATGCACACTTCGGCCTTGAGGTTAGTGTGCGTAAGACTCAGATTCTCTTTTAATCTGCTCCTGATTCAAAACACCTCATCCATCCACCCATCTTGATGGCACTACCCTCTCTAATGTCACCCACTTTCGGTAACTCGTCTCCCACCTGTCCACCACCGTGGACATCGATGAAGAGATTCAGCATCGGATCAGATGTGTATCTCAAACCCTTGGCATACTCCGAAACAGTGACATCAGCTGTAGGGAGCTGAAATTATCTACAAAGTTACACGTACATCGATCAGTGGTCCTCCCCACCTTACTATATGGCAGCGAGACATGGGTCACATAAAGGAGGCATCTCAAGGCACTTGAAAACTTTCACCAACGTAGTCTACGTTCCATCCTCCGAGTTCGCTGGGAAGATAAGAGAACAAATGCCAGTATTTTTGCTGACAACGACTGTAGGAGCAACGAGGCTACCATTATCCATGGACAACTACCCTGGACTGACCATGTTAACCGCCAAAGCAGCTACTTTATAGTCACCTAACGAATAGTAAACGTAATGCCGGTGGGCAACTGAAAAGGTATAAGGATAGTCTTAAGACAAACCTGAAAAGTGCCAAATCGACCCTCTCACCTGGGAGACGATTACTCCACATCGTAACGCTTGGAGGAGCACCACACAAGAAGGCGTCAATACTTTCGAGTTACCCCGACTGCAAACCGAGGAAGACCAGCGCCAACGCCTGAAAGACGCTGCCACCGCCTATCCTGCTCTCGATGTTGCCCTCCCCATGTACATCATCTATGGGTGATCCTCCAGGTTCCGTATCGGCCTCTTTACTCACCTCAAAACTCACCAATGAAGGTGACATCCCTAATAACTCATATTATTGTACTAGCAGAAACGCCGCCCTCCGGGCGGCTCATTCGCTAGGCCACGGCAGGACGCCACCCTCCGGGAGGCTCCACATTATCTCACTGTTCAGTCCCCAAAACTTCTTCTTCCATCAATAGTTCATTAACGGTGTATGTAAGTTCCACCATGTTTTTCACTACAACGGTACAGCAAAGTATATTTTTTTAGCATTAAACTGTTGTTATTTTATTGTCTAATCATCACTAAATATAACACCACCCATCATCACTACATATAACATCATCCATTATCACTACATATAACACCATCCATCATCCCTACATATAACACCATCCATCATCACTACATATAACACCATCCATCATCACTATATATAACATCCACCCATCATCACTACATATAACAATATCCATCGTCACTACATATAACATCATCCATCATCACTACATATAACACCATCCATCATCACTACATATAACACCATCCATCATCACTACATACAACACCATCCATCGTCACTACATATAACATCATCCATCATCACTACATATAACACCACCCATCATCACTATATATAACATCCACCCATCATCACTACATATAACACCATCCATCATCACTACATATAACATCATCCATCATCACCACATATAACACCATCAATCATCACTACATATAACACCATCCATCATCACTATATATAACATCCACCCATCATCACTACATATAACAACATCCATCGTCACTACATATAACATCATCCATCATCACTACATATAACACCACCCATCATCACTACATATAACATCATCCATCATCACTACATATAACATCATCCATCATCACTACATATAACACCACCCATCATCACTACATATAACTTCATCCATTATCACTACATATAACACCATCCATCATCACTACATATAACACCACCCATCATCACTACATATAACACCATCCATCATCACTACATATAACACCATCCATCATCACTACATATAACACCATCCATCATCACTACATATAACACCATCCATCATCACTACAGATCGGTAAAGTAGTTTCAGAGATTCTCGTGCGGACACACAAACAAACAGACAGACTTCTTTGTTTTATATAGACAGATTATAGCTGGGTGATTATAGTAGTGCGTCGGTTCATGTAATATCAAGATCTATCGTGGACTTGATGTGTCTCACCAGTTGCCGCTGATAGATTACAAAGACAGAAGTTGATAAATATGTTTTATATACCGCTGTCCCCCAAACTGAAACAGACAACTGTCCACTGACCCACCGCACAGCCTGAACGTGTCTCCTTGAGTAGTTAAACAACAGGAACACTTTGGTAAAAATAAATAATAACAACCGAAACTGTTTTCTGTTTGTTCCACCTCAACTCAAACTCAACTTAACCATAACCCCCCCACTTTTATCTAGCAGTCAACCTCTAAAAGTAGACGTTTGTTAACATACAGATATAATGGGGTACTGCGTATAACATTCAAGCTATAGAATAATTCTAGACCTTAACTCCAGCTGTTCAACTTCCTGGTGTTGTAACCACTTTCTTCCTTAGAAAGCACGTCTGGTAAGGTGCCATGTTGATGGTGTCGTGGTTGGTGCTATTCATTACACACTGCACAAACCGAAGACCATAACGCCACCGGGCGCTTTTATTATCGCGCCATCATCTACTCCTCGCCCGGTGCACCTCTCACTACACGAGGTTGATGCCTTTACCTGGTCGCTATAGTTTGGGTGACTGCTCATTCGCTAGTGTGGGACGAGCTGTGTGCACTGCTCTTTTACTTTAATTTTATCCTCTTCGCCACTGAGGCTCTTTAGCCGCTTAGGCGGTCGGCCACGTCTCTGCTACGCACTGTTGGCTCCTGATATATCAGAACCTGCTCCAGTGTTGGTTAAATCTAGCCTTGATTGAGCTCGCACTCGTTGCCGTCACAACACTGGCAGATTGTTCCAAGAGTTCACAATTCTCACTCCAAAAAACTTTGCCCTCACAGTTTTCTGAGCCCCCGTGTCTGCGACTCGTGTGTAGGAGTCAGACCACCGCACTAAAATGTGTAAATTCTTATTGAAATAATTGATCCAATCTTTTTTATTAAACATGGGGCGTGAAACACTTCTGTACATTTCCGGCGCCGGGAGAGATTTAGCTGGTGGTGGACGATGAGATGTCACTTGGGTCTTATATGCTTTGGCTATATATTACAATATTTGTTTGTTGTATCTCGTACATAAGGAGCTTTTACTGCGCCTTTGAATTGAAAAATAAGCGCCTTTGTATTTGTTACATCATATTTCTTTTATGTAATACAAATTCACATGTAAAACATATTATTGATATGCCTGTAAAATATATTTAACTTTCTGTGCTGTCATAATGATCATGGGCATAAATTTCATATGTACTAAAACTGACATTCTTCTCTGAGAACTTCAATTATATGCCATCTTCACCTGGAGAGAGAGAGAGAGAGAGAGAGAGAGAGAGAGAGAGAGAGAGGAATCATTTGTTTGTTCATATATTTTTTACCGTTACATTCAGAACGGAATGTTAGAGTAAATGTGTATAACATCCTCAGGTAAGGGACATTATAACCAAGAATACTCACGGGTGTGT